CATTGTGTACCATAAAATCTTGTTTTCATCTGCATCCCAGTGCCTTTGAACTGCTTCAACCTCTTTGTCACCATTCCCTGTTTATATGCATGAGCTTCAGTTACTGTGGCATGCCATTTTTAGGGTAGGTTTTCTGATGTTGACAACAGCATAACATGACCAAGTAATGTACATTGCAAGGACGAGATTTGGATTGATACTAATATGGGTTCAAGGCAAATCCTGCAGGCTCGTGATTTGTGTTTCTAGATAATTTAAGAGCTGATTGAACCTAAGAATATAGCCAACTGGCATAAGAGATAATGGGTCATCCCCTCAATGTCAGGGCCACTTATACAAATTGAACCTTATAACTATAGTTAAATCTGACAGATCATGATCTAGCAGGGATTCACAGGCCATATTCTCATTGCACACGTTCCTGAAATGGGCTCTCAAAAGTACTGGGTGCTGCAGCGACCTCCAGCTAGGTACTGGAACATACACAATACAATGTAAATATTCACCAGCACACCACAGATCTTAGGTCCAGATGTTTTTTAAGGAAGAAAAATCAAATCACAAACAGTGTACACTGCTTGTCATGTGATCTTTCTTCATTGAAGATTGAAGATCCGCAGTATGCTGTCAAATATTTACATTGTTCTAGCAGGGATTTAGATAGCAGGTTGTCTATTACAATATTCATACCAATAGTAAAGTATTTATGTAAAATTATAATTCGATATAGCCAGCATAAGAATTTACTAATTTGTTTGCTTATAGCAGCACTTATTGGATATTTAGACCACGGTATAAAGCAATACACTTCACATATTTCTGTAATTATGTCATGATTATGCTGTACTGACCTCAACACTATGAAACTAAACAATAGAATAAAACAAGGTTATCTAATGAGACAGAGCAGCTTGCAAAGATTATGTGGAAATTGCTAAACCCTTGGTGACAAACCTGATATAATCCCTTACTGATCTGTCAAAAGTAAACAGTATTAAAAGTAAACGGTATTAATCAAGCTTTATATAGTATGTCAGGGGAAGGATATAGCAAAAAAGATCTAGTAGGTGTTTAAGATTGTCCAGTAACATTAGACTGTCCCGATACAAACAAGCACATGTTCTTTAACCACTTTCCCTCCAGAGGATTTACCCCCCCCTTCCTGAGCTATTTCAACTGGTACCTGCTCGGTCAAGCAATGCTGTACCCAAATTAAATGTATGTCATTTTTTTCACACTAATAGAGCTTTCTTTCAGTGGTATTTGTTCACCTGTGCGTTTTTTAGTTTTTTGCGCTATAAACAAAAAAGACAGAAAATTTTGAAAAAAAAAGAGATATTTTTTATGACAAAATGATATATTGCTCACACATGCTGTGTGTATATGTGGAATTACAACCCAAAATACATTCTGCTACTTCTACCGAGTATGGGGATACCACTTGTGTGAGACATTTTGGATTGTTTATATCCTGCAAAACTAAAGTGATGAAATGCTCTTCGCTTCCAATTTCGTAGACTATAGAAATGATTGGCACCATTCCAGTCTCCAATCAGCTCTATGGTGAGCTGGCAAAACCACTGGCTGCATTTTCAGGTTCCCGCGATGGCACGGGACTGCCGGAGGAAGGCTGTGGAAAGCTACGGGGGGCATCTTCTCCTGCTTGTTAAAGCAATCCTGCAGCTAATTAGCCACTAGGATTGCTTTTACATGAAAGCCGATCACCGGCAGCAGCAGGCATCATCCTGGTTTTGCGCTATAAACAAAAAGGACAGAAACATTTTTTTTAAAAAAAGATATTTTTTATGTTCGGCTTTAAGAAATATATAGTAAACTCAAAGTTAGTCATAAATTTAGGCCAAAATTTATTCTGCTACATGTCTTTTGGTAAAAGAAATTCCAATAAATGTATGTTGATTGCTTTGTGTGAAACTTATAGCGTCTACAAACTATGGTATGCTAGTTTAACTGACAATTGCGCGGTCATGCAATATTGAACATAAATGAAATTTATGTCCTTTTTTTAACACAAATAGAGCTTTTTTTTTGGTGGTATTTGATCACCTCTGGGTTTTATTTTGTTTTGCGCTATAAACAAAAAAAAAGACTGAAAATGTTGAAAAAAAAAAATATTTTCACATTTCTGTCATAAAAAATATCCAAAAAACTCAAATTTCGTCATAAATTTAGACCAAAATGTATTTTGTTACATGTCTTTGGTACAGAAAATCCCAATAACCACATATTAATTGATTTGTGTGAAAGTTATAGCATCTACAATCTATGGTATAGATACTGGAATTACACAGCTTTTATTTTATGACTGCCTATCACATTTCTTGGGGTGTTAAAATACCAGGGCAGTACAAACACCCTCAAATGATGCCTTTTTGGAAAGTAGACACCCTAAGCTATCTGGAATGTTGAGTCCATGGAAGATTTCTTCTTTTTTTACCACACGTTTATGGAAAATGACAAAAATGTATTTATTTACTTTTGCACAAAGTTGGCACTTAAATGATATATGGCTCACACATGCTGTGTGTATATGTGGAATTACAACCCAAAATACATTCTGCTACTTCTACCGAGTATGGGGATACCACTTGTGTGAGACTTTTTGGATTGTTTATATCCTGCAAAACTAAAGTGATGAAATGCTCTTAGCTTCCAATTTCTTAGATTATAGAAATGATTGGCACCATTCCAGTCTCCAATCAGCTCTATGGTGAGCTGGCAGAACCACTGGCTGCATTTTCAGGTTCCCACAATGGCACGGGACTGCCGGGGGAAGACTGTGGAAAGCAACGGGGGGCATCTTCTCCTGCTGCTTGTAAAAGCAATCCTGCAGCTAATTAGCCACTAGGATTGCTTTTACATGAAAGCCGATCACCGGCAGCAGCAGGCATCATCCTGGTATAACCACTCAAAGTTCAGTGATGTAACAGTACATCGCTGGTCCTTTTTTGGTGTTATATGCTGTGTTCTTTTTTTTTTTTTTATGCAGCCTGTGGGATGAAAGAAAAAAAAGAAAATTAATCTCCGCCAGAAAAAGTGTGTGGTAAGCCCACCATTAGAATATAACTCAATGCATCCACCCACTTCTGATGGTGGGCACACATGACATGTTCTTTTTTTGTCAATCAGCCCGTGGTTTTGTATGCAATGTATCATGCGACAGTGACCTACTGAAACTGCACTTGCTGGGGGGAGAAGGGGGAGGTTAAGTGTAGGGGCTAAATGCAGGTGCTAGCAGGTGCCGGGGCTGATCCCACTAATGCTGCATTTTTGGGGACACTATACTAATGTGAACACTGGTATAGTGCTGATCTGATCAAAGACATTGATCCGTTCAGACATTATACTAGCAATGGAGATTTATTGTGTATGTGAGTATGTTCCTGGCAATCAATGATGACTGATGTAGTGATGGGAAATCTGACGTTATCTGGGAGGGACGCTAATGCTATCTGAAGTTGCGGGTGACACTAATACAGTAGTCAGTAAAAAAAGTATGTACACTGTACTAATGAAACTGGTGACATGGCAGTGAAGAGGTTAACTGGGGGGGCAATCACGGGGTTAAATGTGACCTAAAAAGTGTTTTTGATTGTAAAAGTGTAGTGTTTTTTAGATCTGCTTTCTTCTCTCTCTGAGACGGAATGTGTCCAGAGAGAGATGATTGCATCATTTCCTGTACCTGTGTAAATCTAAACATAAGTACAGAAAGATCTGTGATTGGTCAGAGATCAATCATCACATCCAGGCCGAACATTACTGACCTAAATCTGATGATTGATCTCTTGGGCACCGAATCATGACACCACCGGGTCGGCGGGTGCGCGCACCCCTGGCCCACGTTCACCTCGGGAGCATGTATCATGTATACCCTGTAGCAGTATTTGTGCTATAGGGTGGCACTGAAGTGGTTAAAGGATAAGATAAACTCAACCCATATTTAGTGTGTAACATGTAACATGTTCAGGAACCTTACCTCACCCCCCTTCCCTGTGACAGGGGATGGGGTTCTTCTCCCCTGCATCCATCGTCACATTTTAAATGAGTGCATCATTCATTCACAGGGGTCTGTCAATGAATGAACTACAAGCATTGGCAGTTTCATTGGACTGCGAGAGAACTAATGTGCATCCACTGACACTTCCTTCAGCTTTCAAAAAGAAAGCCTACACAGAGGTAAGGACAAGAAAGCTGCAAGAAATGTCGGCAGGAGCTTGACATTGCTCCCACAATCCACTAATGGTGGGTGCAAACATTTGTAGGCTTCTGTGAAAAACAAACAAGTGCCATTTTTTTATAAGCAAAAACTGATGTACGTATGTATGTATTTATTTTTGTTAAAGGCAAACTCTTTTAACAAACTCCCCTTTAAATCTGAACTTTAGGCAACAACATATTCAATATACATGTATAGAAAGTTTACCTGGACAAAAATTGCAACTGTCTTTTGCCAGTCTTGAGTTCCAGGAACACCTGCTAGACAGTATAGTCAAATATTCACATTTCGCTGTGGCCTAAGCACAGCTTAATCAAGAACAATGCTCAAACCTGCCAACATATATTTACTGCAGCAGTAGAAAGAAATTGACATCTAGTGCTGGCTCTCCTTCTTCTAGTCTGCTGCCGTGCAGAGAAAAAAATATTAAGAAAAATTCAATAACTCATACTACCACTATATATATATATATATATATATATATATATATATATACACACCATATTTTTCACTCCATAAGACGCACCTGACCATAAGACGCACCTAGGTTTTAAAGGTGAAAAACAAGAAAAAAAAATATTCTGAACCAATGGACTGCGGACACAGTACAGGGGATGACCAGAGACTGTGGATACAGTACAGGAGATGACCAGAGACTGCGGACATAGTACAGGAGATGACCAGAGACTGCAGACACAGTACAGGAGATGACCAGAGACTGCAGACAAAGTACAGGGGATGACCAAGAGACTGCGGACATAGTACAGGGGATGACCAAGAGACTGCGGACATAGTACAGGGGATGACCAAGAGACTGCGGACACAGTACAGGGGATGACCAGAGACTGCGGACACAGTGCAGGAGATGACCAGAGACTGCGGACACAGTGCAGGAGATGGCCAGAGACTGCGGACACAGTGCAGGAGATGACCAGAGACTGCGGACAGTACAGGGAATGACCAGAGACTGCGGACAGTGCAGGGAATGACCAGAGACTGCGGACAGTGCAGGGAATGACCAGAGACTGCGGACAGTGCAGGGAATGACCAGAGACTGCGGACAGTGCAGGGGATGACCAGAGACTGCGGACAGTGCAGGGGATGACCAGAGACTGCGGACAGTGCAGGGGATGACCAGAGACTGCGGACAGTGCAGGGGATGACCAGAGACTGCGGACAGTGCAGGGGATGACCAGAGACTGCGGACAGTGCAGGGGATGACCAGAGACTGCGGACAGTGCAGGGGATGACCAGAGACTGCGGACAGTGCAGGGGATGACCAGAGACTGCAGACAGTGCAGGGGATGACCAGAGACTGCATACAGTGCAGGGAATGACCAGAGACTGCATACAGTGCAGGGAATGACCAGAGACTGCAGACAGTGAAGGGAATGACCAGAGACTGTGGACCTTTGGGGAGGGAGGGGGAGCGGGTACCTGAATTTGACAGGTACCCACTCCCACTTCCGCGGAGTTGCCTTCCCTCTTCTTCCCGGGCCGGCTTCTGTGACAGCCGGGTGCCCACTGCGCATGCGCGAGAAGCGCTGCGCTTTTGTGAATGGCCCGGCGCCTTCTGGGACCTTTCATGTGTCCCAGAAGACACCGGATCATTCAAAAAGTGCAGCACATGCGCAGTGGGCACCCGGCTGTCACAGAAGCCAGCACGGGAAGACTGTGCAGCGCTGGAGCGAGGAACAGGTAAGGCCCTGCAGGAGAGAACAGCTGAGCGGCCAGCCCGGTATGCTGACATGGTGGCCGCAAAAAATACCGGACCAGCCGCTTTATATTCGCTCCATAAGATGCACTGACATTTTCCCCCCTTTTTTGGGGGGAAAAAAGTGCATCTTATGGAGTGAAAAATACGGTATATATATATATATATATATATATATATATATACACATAATAATTGCAGTAACTGTGCTTTAATCTACAAGGGGTTTAGCATTGTTAAATGGTTTGCTTTCCTTAAAGCATACCTTTAGTAAAAAAAAAAATTATAGAGCTGTCTTAGCAGTTTTAATGAGCTGAAATAAGACAATAACATCACTTAATCAGTTTTCCTGGTGAAAATACATTTTCTCCCGAATCAAACCCAAATCCAAGTCCTAGGCATTAAGTCATGAAATATGTGTTGAAAAGAAGGTTCGAAGATCATATTAGTTGATGCTATAATTCAGTTTAGGTTATGTTTACAAAATACTGTAATTGTTCTCATGTTCCAACCAGGAGGAAAATGGGGCAGTATTTTCTCCTGGAAAGTTTCTTTTGGCATCTGTATTACAATTTACTGATCTATTTTAGCAAGACTGATTGCATAGCTCTAACTTATTATTTTAGTATAGGTCCACTGTAATGTCTTGAATGTCTTTTTTTGACATTTGTGGATACTTTTTTTCAGTGGGAAAGGTTTTAAGCTGAATATGCTTTGTAGGTGTGAGCAGGTGGTTAATGACCTTTTCTCTGCTGAGTAAATAATTCTGTCTCTCTCTTAAACGTTTGCCAGTAATGCTTGCTCTTCCCTGTACTCTGCTCCTCTTTCAAGCAGACAAATTAGTTCATTATCCAGTGAAAAAGATGCCCATATGGCAGTGTTGTGGCGCTGCTTACCTGCTGTTCCTGGGTTCTGTATTTCAGTGATACAGACACAGCAAATACAAAATGTAGAAAGCTGTCTAACGTGTCCCATGTCTGACTATATAAAAGAAGTTGTGCTTCAGTCTGCTTGATTAGAGCTTATGTAAAAAGTGAGAAATGGAGAGCTCTGCCTAGCAATGACAGACATAAATTGCTAAATATATCAACTAGAAAAATATAGTACCTCTCTTGTGATTCATTTCCTAGCTTAGACCAGTCAAGTAATGTCAACGTTATTCGTGTTTCAACGATGAATTAATATGATCTTAAAGTTCACAGATTTTTGTGTAAGACTCTTCAAAAGCTGGATGATGGATATCAATATTATAAAAGCCATGTAAAAAAAAATGTTGTGAATCTGTATGACTCTCAAGGCACTCATTATCAATGGAGAATATATATATATATATATATATATATATATATATATATATATATATAAATATACACACACAGTTGTGTTCAAAATAATAGCAATGTGTTGAAAAAAGGGAATAAAGCTCAAAATACTTCTAATAACTTTTATTTCCATACACACATGCGTTGGGAACATTACACATTCTATTCCAAATCAACACATGAGGAAAATATATCAAATTTGTGTTGTTCCTCTAAAGAAAATTGAAGAAAAGTGAATATTAGACTGTTCAAAAGATAGCAGTGTTTGTATTCTTCTTTACAAACTCAAACATTCACTATATAAAACTGAAAAATGTTTGAAGATTTTGCTTTCCTTTGAATCACTTAATGAATATTTAGTAGTATAAGCACTGTTTCTGAGAACTGCTGTACATCTGTGTTGCATGGATTCAACCAACTTCTGGCACCTGTGAACAGGTATTCCAGCCCAGGATGATTGGACTACATTCCACAGTTCTCTATTTCTTGGTTTTGCCTCAGAAACTGCATTTTTGATGTCACCCCACAAGTTTTCTATTGGATTAAGATCCGAGGATTGGGCTGGCCACTCCATAACGTCAATCTTGTTGGTCTGGAACCAAGATGTTGCACGTTTCCTGGTGTGTTTGGGGTCGTTGTCTTGTTGGAACACCCATTTCAAGGGCATTTCCTCTTCAGCATAAGGCAGCATGACCTCTTCAAGTATTCTGATGTATTCAAACTGATCCATGATCCCTGGTATGCGATAAATAGGCCCAACACCGTAGTATGAGAAACATCCCCATATCACGATGCTTGCGCAACCATGCTTCACTGTCTTCACAGTGTACTGTGGCTTGAATTCAGTGTTTGGGGGTCGTCTGACAAACTGTCTCCGGCCACTAGACCCAAAAAGAACAATCTTACTTTCATTAGTCCACAAAATGTTGCGCCATTTCTCTTTAGGCCAGTCAATGTGCTCTTTGGCAAATTGTAACCTCTTCAGCACATGTCTATTTTTCAACAGTGGAACTTTGCGGGGGCTTCTTGCGGATAGCTTGGCTTCACATAGGCGTCTTCTAATTGTAACAGTACTCACAGGTAACTTTAGACCTTCTTTGATCTTCCTGGAGCTGATTGTTGGCTGAGTCCTTGCCATTTTGGCTATTCTTCTATCCATTTGAATGGTAGTTTTTTTGCTTTCTTCCACATCCTTCAGGTTTTGGTTGCCATTTTAAAGCATTTGCGATCATTTTAGACAAGCAGCCTATCATTTTCTGCAATTCTTTATATGTTTTCCCCTCTCCAATCAACTTTTTAATCAAGGTACGCTGTTGTTCTGAACAATGTCTGGAACAACCCATTTTCCTCAGAATTTCAGAGAGAAATGCACTGTACAAAATTTGCTGCCTTCCTTCCTTAAATAAGGGCAATAATTGCCACCTGTTTTTCAAAGAATGAATGACCTCACTAATAGAACTCCACACTGCTATTCTTTTGAACATGCCCCTTTCAATTAGTGATTCAATTACACAGAATCAGCAGTAAGCATGTCATGACTGTTGGGTCTGTTGGATTTCTAATGCAGGAGGGCCACTCTTGCATCCTTAACCATTTCAATATCGGGCACTTTTACCCCCTTCCTGCCCAGGCCATTTTTCAGGTTTCAGAGCTCTCACACTTTGAATGACAATTGCGCGGTCATACAACATTGTACCCAAACTAAAATTTTATAATTTTCTTCACACAACTAGAGCTTTCATTTGGTGGTATTTAATCACCACTGGGGTTTTTTTATTTTTTGCTAAATTAACAAAAAAAGACCAAAAACTTTGAAAAAAAACACCCCTCTTTGCAAAGTAGACAGTCCAATGTATTTCATAAGAGGCATGACAAGTTTTTTGAAGTTGTATTTTTTTTGTCATAATTTTTCAGAAAATGAAAAAAATAATTTTCACAATTTTTTTTTTACATACTGTCACCAGTGCAGTACAGCATCATCATATAACTGGCATTGCGGTGATCAGGGACACTGACTGGTGACAGTATGAAAAAATATATATATATCATTTTTTTTAATTTTTTTTATTATTTTAAATTTTGTATTACATTTTTTTTTTCTTTTTTTAAGATTTATTTTTCATATTTCACTATGACCAAAGTAGTACAATGTTACCATAGTAACGTTGTACTACTTAGGAAAGGGATCAGTATTTTTTTTTTTTTTTTTTTTTTTACACAATTTGCTTATAGCAAATAATTACTTTGCTAAAAGCAAGCATTTACCTGAATGACATCGATTCATTCAGGGTTTTTTTTTTTTTTTTTTGTGCTTAGCTGTGATTTGGCCACGGCTAATCACATGACACAGCTGGGCTGTGATTGGCCCAGCTTGTGCATGTGATCGCTGTGACCATTCGCAGCTAGATACTAGTATGTGATTGGTCACAGCAGGTCACAATGTACCGGCAACGGGGCTGGAACTCAGATCGGTCATCGGCCGTGTCCGAGGTATACGGCCGGTGACAGATTGCGCCGCTGTGCAGCTCTGCAGTCGCCATATGGCGTCCAGCTTGTGCATGTGATCGCTGTGACCATTCACAGCTAGACACTAGTATACAATGGATGGCATGAATGAAGCCATCCATTGTATACAACTGTCATGTGACTTGCTGTGATTGGGCACAGCAGGTCACATGGTACCGGCAACGGGGCCGGTACTCAGATCTGTCATCGGCGCTGTCTGAGGTATACGGCCGGTGACAGATCGCGCTGCTGCACAGCTCTGCAGTCGCCATATGGCATCCACCCAGAATACTGAAGGATTTTGCCGGCCGTCAAATGGCCATTGGCCGGGCGGCTAATGGTTAAGGACCGTAAAATGAAATTACATTTGCAGCAAACCAAAAACCCTAGATCAGAAGCCAATCAACTGCGGGCATGACCAACAGATGTGCAAGATGTCCCTACGTAAACCACAGTTCTGGAAACACCTATATCTGCCAGTCGGATTAAAGTGAGCAGTCCGAGCCGGGACCCAGTACCACCGCAGGAGAACTTTGTAGATTGCATCAATAGTGACGGTATTGAAGGAACATTTCTCCACCATCCCCCAAGCCCTATTTCATTCCTCTGCCTCAATTGAAAAACCTAGATCTCGCTCCCATTGAGAGACATAAGACAAGGGTGGTGAGGAGGACCTACTGTTAAGAGAGGCATAAATCACAGAAATGAGACTAGAGGACCCTGGGGAATGTTGCAGACATGTTCAAAGGGTGTTTTTCGGTAAGGATATGTAGAGGTACAATGGAGGGACAAGACCCAGTGGCGCAATTGCAATTAATGATAATATTCCCATGGCGGGACCC